GCTATCAGGCAAATAATGAATTACATTATTGGCACCTGGCTTTTTGCAGATCCTTGCCCAGAGCCTATTAATTTGGCCCTGCCAATGGCAGTAGTGCCATTTGAGCCTTGCCAGTTAGCCAGACAATTAAGTGAAATGTCATTTATACTACATCTGGAGTAGAATGATTTGTGTTGATATCACTCTATAACGTTTCTTTGTTACTGACAGAATAGCTACAACAATCAACAATACTTTATTTCCCACTAAACTCTTAATTATAGCAAATTAAAATAGAAAAGCTGACACTATAGCTGACTTGTCACAAGACTTATTTTAGATTAAATTTTGCCCTTTGGATTTGATATAATTCGGTAGTTTGTGACCATCTCCCTTAGTGCAACATACCAAATAAATATAAAACTTTAATAGTTGCCCAAAACTATATCCAATTACTGTGACTGCTCTGAAATGATATTAATATACTTAATGTTATGTTTGCAATGCAAGCACCATTATAACTTGGAGGAAAAGTGTACAAATTCAGACGAGCCAATTGCCTCAGATTTGGCCTAACAGTCCTCGGATGGGTGGAGTGTCCAACAGGTATTACTCTAGAGTCCCGCAAATAGATGGCATTACAGGAAATGCCCCAAATTCACAACTAGTTGTACCAACACAGAATGAATGCATACCATGCAGACAAGTTTAAATGCACGGAAAATCCTTTGATGCCAGCAAGGTATCCAAACTACAGGTAAGTGTCGGAAACTATAAAAACCACAACTCAACATTTCCAGGTGGGCAGTGCCACCATCTTCCACAGATAACCTATGAACACGTGTATGCCCTTGATTCCCAGACCATGAGGGCATATGTAAGGAATCACAGGATATTTCTTACTTTACATCAGACAAGGCAGTGCCAGCACAAAAATGCAATCAGTACTAGTGATCGACCGATTATCAGTCTGGCCGTTATTCTGTATTTTCAGCAATAAATCGGTAAAAAAATTTTTTTCCTGATAATGCATACCAGGGCCGCCATCAGGGTCCTGGGGGACCCAGCACCCTCTTACTTACCTTCACAGCAGCTCCCCTGTCTAACTCTTTCGAGTGCTGCGGCTGTCAGAGCCACAGGTTACCATGGCAACGCTCAGCGCAGAACATAGGCAGCGAGAGTTAGACAGGTGAGCTGCTGGGAAGGTAAGTAAGAGTGTGCTGGGCCCCCTAGGGAATGCCATACCCCCCCTCCCAGGCCAGATAAGAAGCAGGGAGGGGGGGGACGACTAAAAATAAAGTTTAAAAAAAATACATATATTAAAAAAAAATTAAATGCAGCTGCCCTCCCCTCCCCCTTTATACACACACTCACTGCATCCACTTTATACACACACACACACACACACACACACACACTCTTGAAAACAAATTATGGACTGGCATGTATATTTTGTGCATTTACCTTAAAAAAAAAAAAAAAAAAAATATTTGCTAAAAGAAATAAACATTCATTTAACAGTAAATTTGTGTAGAAATAGTTTATTTTTTTCAAAATGGTAAATGCACAGAATATCATTAAGTTATCGGTCTGAAAGTTCACAGATTAAATCGGTATAAAAAAACAAAAACAAAAACAAACAAAAAAATATTGGTCGATCCCTAATCAATACCAAGTTAAAAACCATGTTGAAAACTAAACATTACATCAACAAAACAGCTACACTTCCAAAGGGAGTTTTATAACAAAAAGATATGTACAATATCTGACAGAATGCACCTTTACAATCTTACCTTCCTATTCTAATAAGCAATGGCGACAAACACTGGCAACCAACAGACAAATGCATTTAAGCTGGTGAATTTTTTTTTATATTTCTTTAAATTTATGGTCGAACAAAAACATACAACCGACTACACAGGTAAAGTGATCGATTAGTTTAAATGTAGATAATGTATTTAATTCACACAAGCTGAAATGCACACGTAAACAAGTCTACAGGTCATCAGTCACAGATTCCTTCCAGAGAACCTCATTGCTATATATGAGAACGGTGCAAACCTAAATGTACAGAGTTTGTTTAGAAACCAGAAGCTCAAAAGAGGTAGCAATAAAACCAAGGTGGTGATTGGAGTACAAAATCAGCCCCATTATTAGCTACCTATGGAGTAGAACAATGGCAATTACATTTATTTGGTTCCAACACATTCCACAATTCTGTACAATAGGTGAAACACAAACCATTCTAACAAAACACATTTGCCAAACGAGGACAGTATGTGAACAGAGCCCTGCCCAAACAAGTAAAAGTGTTGAGGGACAAATACAGAGAGGGAAGTGAGGGAATCTGGATATACTGAAAAGGATGGGATGAGTGATCATGAATAGGGAACTTGAGATGTGAGACAGCATAGGACGGATGAAGGGGAAGATGTGTTAAGGGGTGAGCTGATAAACTGATCTAAACAAGTAAGTTAAGGACTGCAGTGATTGGGAGAAAATTCCATAATAATAATTCCAAAATAATATTTTATCACCACATCAAGCCTGTAGTGTAGAACATCAATTAAAAGCCAACATTACAGAAACAATTCTTGTTAAATAGCTATGTTAGTGTCATGTACCTCAATCCCCTGCTGGGATTTTAAACATGGATTTCACGTCACCTGTATTTGTTCTCTCGTATAGTTACAGGGGTTGGCAACCTTTTGCACCCCAAAAGTTGTGGACTACATCTCCCATAATGTTCTTATAGCAATAATGCTAGCAAAGCATCATGGTACATTTAGTCCACCACATATGAAGTGCCGAAGGTTGCCTACCCCTGCTCTATAGTGTAAATAAAAACAAATTAGCTATATAAAACACATCACTACTAATTTGAACACCGCATTACACAGGGCTAGTACTACCAGAAACTGGAGTTTAATTAATGGACCACGATGCAAACAGCGAGCAGGAATGAGATTGGCAAAGACGTACAGTGTTATTCAATAAAGTGATAATTCAAGGTGAATTTCAGATTTAAGAAAAATAAAGCCAAACTGGCTATGCTTTTAGTTCGGCTAATCTGGCTTTACGCCTGAAATTCACTTTGAATCCTCACTGTAGTAAATAACCCTGATAAATAGTGCAAGACAGAATGTGTACCTAAAGTGTGCACAAAAGAACACTGTGTGATGGTTACAGGGTTTGGAATGTACAAGAGTCAGACAGCCAAACACGGGAAAAACCATCACAACATTCTCTCCCTGCAGTATCAATGACCAGGCAACTTATAGAGCCACAATCACTTTCGATGCAGGTCAAAAGAATAATAAAATCATACACAGAAATAACAGGTGTAGATACAAGATTTATCTTATTCTGCTAACTTACCTCTGGGACATAGTTATCCCTCCTCTCTCTTTCCTCCTCCTGCAGTTTGATGGAGATGCCTCTGACAGGGCCTCTCTGGATGCGCTTCATCAGATGTGTGACATACCTACAGAGACAGAACAGGTCAGGTTTTGATGCCCTAAGAGGAGTTCATTCAGACTCGTAATTTATGAGATAGCCCATGTACGAATGAGGCAGTGTGTAAAATGTACAGGGTTTGGTAGGTACTATCACAACCTCCAAACACGGGAAATATTTCACATCATGCTCTTCCTGCAGTATCAATGACTAGGCGACTAATAGAGCCACAATCACTTTCGATGCAGGTTTAATGGGATTTTAAGAGCAGGAAAAAAAAAAAAAATCAAAAAACATTGCAATATTAAAGGACCACTATAGTACAAGGAAAACAAACTCGTTTTCTTGGTACTATATAGTCCTTAGGTTCCCCCCCACACACACGCTGGGCTAAATGGGTTACAACCCCTTCAGCCACTTACCGTAATCCAGCGCCGGTGACCTCTCCTCCCCTTCCAACATCAGCTCCTGAGTGGAGCTGAATGCACGTGCGCGGCCAGAGCTACGCTCGGATTCAAACTGCCCATAGGAAAGCATTACTCAATGCTTTCCTATGGACGTTCTGCGTGCTCAATGTGATTTTCAAATTGAGCGTTGCGGAAGCGCCTCTAAAGGCTGGATTAACCCTGCAATGTAAACATAGCAGTTTCTCTGAAACTGCTATGTTTACATATGCAGAGTTAAAACCTGGCACCCAGACCACTTCATTAAGCTGAAGTGGTCTGGGTGACTATAGTGGTCCTTAAAATTCTAACATATTACACATGATACAGATGCTGCGCAACTGTTTTTATCAGTAAGATTGCATGGCATGAAAATGTTATACAAATCCTCTGCAGCAGCATGATCAGAGCTATGTCTACACACAGACATTAAAAACACCAAAACTCTACGATAATCACTACAGATTGTGATTAAGCACAAATACTACATTATTGTAGCGATTATGGTGCAAAGGCTATGTGTTTAGGTGAGACAGTGGAGCAGCACACGGTTGCCGTCCACACCTATTTCGATGTCAGCCAGAGCCTTCTGCAGTCCAATGAAAAGCTTCTCATAGAAATCATTTGATTGGATCGTTTCGCCAGCCAAGAGTGCATGCACGCAATCAGAGCCAGCAAGAGGAGGGATAGTGGGAAATGTAATAAAACAAGCAATACTGAGAGGAAAGGGAGGCAGGGGGCTCAAGATAGTTGGAGTAACTAACACCAACCCTTTCAGGAGAAACTGTGCACCCTAGCCACTACTCCATTCTGCTGTAAAGCTTACCCAGCGATCTTATTGCGCAGTTTCTTGCTTGGGATGATGGCAATCTCTTCACACACACGCTTGTTGGTATGGAAGTCATTGCCTAATCGGGTGTAGTATTTTTCAATTATGACCCGAGCGGCCTTTTTCACGGTCTTTGTCCTGACGCGTCCCTAGTGAAAAAGATAAAAATTAGCCATGGAAAGGTTCGCTGGGAATGCAGAGGCAAAAAATGATATTTGTAATTTAAAAAAACACACACACACACATTAACAGGTGTCTTAAGTGCAGGAAGGCATCATCTCTAATGTCCTTTGTCATATGCTGGCATTAGATGTGAACCTGTACAGGGCTGTGTGAAAGTTACAGGGTTTGGTAGGCACGGTCAGCATCTCCAAACACGGGAAAGACTTTCATATATTTACTCTCCCTGCAGTATCAATGATCAGGCCATAAACAGGACCAAAATCACTTTCGATGCAGGTTTACAGACAAGTATGTGTACAAAATTGCTTAGAGTTATTCACCAAGGTCTGAATTCAAAGTAAATTAAAATGTATTACGTCCCAGCAGACGATTAGTCACCGGTGTTTTCAATTAGGCTATTTTAGGTTAAAATATGAAGTTCGCTTTAAATTCTTGATACCTTCCACTTTAGTTAATAACTCTCTTAGCGTTAGAATCTAAACAAAAGGTAAGTTGCTGGTACATATGTGATAACACGATAAGAAAAGATGAACAACTTGGTTATAAAGTATATCAACAGAAAATAATGGTCACAAAATACATTAGGACATGTGAAATGAACCTGTCCGGATGGATATTATAACCTGCACAACAGGAGATAATTATTAAAGTGTAGTGATTGGAAAAGTGGCGCAACGTTGAAAGACCCATTGCCAATGTAATGTGCCTGGTGAGTTCACAGGTTTCCAAGGCAATTGCACCACTTTTCTGTTCTGGACACTTTGACAAACCCACAACTGTCTTGATCAGTTACACAGTCTCCCTAAGACAATACAAGAAAACTTGTTAAGCTATACAAGCTATATACCATTATACCTGATCGATATGTACCAAAATCTTTTCCTCTCACACCATCTCAATGCAGGCGATTTCAAGTTGTAGAGCATTCTCTCAAAAACGTGATACAGAGATCTCGGATACAATGTATACGTTATGGACAGACCTTGAGACACACACTGCATATACAGCTCAGGGTGGGAGACACACACAGCTCAGGGCAGGACACACACTGCACACACCCGGCTCAGGGCAGGACACACACACCGCACACACAGCTCAGGGCAGGACACACACACCGCGCACACAGCTCAGGGCAGGACACACACACACCGCACACACAGCTCAGAGCAGGGGACACAAACTGCTCACACGGCCAGGAAGCAGGTTAGGCCGCAATCCCCAGACTATGTTATCCCAATAAGGTCCTGACCCTCCCCGGCCGGTTCCAGTCTACCCCCTCCCATAGCACAGCAGGCAGCTGGGCCCCCGGCAATGATCCGGACAGGCTGAACCCACGGCCTCCAGGCAGCGATCAGCGGGGCCTCCATGACACCCAGCGGCTCCATCAGATCCCCGTATCTCCGGCCGGCTCGGGCCTCTCCTGCCAATACAGGGCTCGCAGGCTCGGTGTGGGTGTCAGGGAGTCTCCGCGGCCTCGCTCGGGCCCGGTCTGATCACTAAAACACAGGATGGCAGAGGATAGTACGGCGGACAGGCAAAGACGGAAACCCACCATGTTGGACCGAGCTGGTAGAAGAGGGCAAAGGATGCTGGGAGCGAGGATATAAAGAGGCGGAAGCGACAGCCCACACAGCACTAATACAAGCGGCCTCTAGCGGAACGGAGGGGAATTGCAGATTCATAAGGAAACCAGTACTGAGGGCTGCATTCATACAGGCTATTAGGTTATCATTACAATGCATTGAAATAGAATTGCAAAAGTTAGGCAAGAACAACAAAGTTGGAAAATTAAAATGCAGTTGAGCTATGGTGAGCTTGGATTTTATAGCCTAACATATACAATTTACTTTAATTATACAACAGTTTTGATGTTTAATTACTAAACTGCATTAAAGAGGAATTGTCACTTGTCTGGAATTGACAGTATCTTGTTTCCACATCCCAGCAAACATTATTGAAGTGTTTACCTAAGTGAACATCTCAGTTAAGGAAAGTAAAATACACCCTTCTGCATTGAGGGTGACTGCATACCTCCCAAGTGTCCCTATTTAGAAGTAACAGTCCCTATTTTGGGCCCAAATCCCTCTGTCCCAGTATTCTATCATATTATCCCTCTTTTCTAGGAGCTCCATATTGTTGGTGTTTCTGAGTTTATAACAGAGCTTCACAGAAATAATGCTCACAGTAACACTACAAAAATATGTTTAGAAATGAGTCTCTGTAAATAGGATACATTGTTCTTATTCTACATTACATTATATTAGCATACATAGTTTTTAGTAAGTCACCTACAATTTGTCAAGCAGCCCTGCCCAGCCACACCCCTATGTTTAAAGTGTCCCTCTTTGCCCATTTGACATGTTGGGTGGTAGTGAGTCAGAGCACAGGCTCAGAGATTCTCAGCCTGCGCTCTAACAACATTGAAAGTCAGAGCCGTGAAGGAGCGGGTATGGCAAAGAGCTACTGATTAGCATAACATCAATATCCGTTATAAAACCAGGAAAAGGTGGGCATGGATGGTGAACTGATTTGGTGATGCAATGGGCCACTTAACTGGTTTTGCCCCCCCAGGCCTAAGGCTGCCAGCCCTCCCCTGGTAAATAGGCATTCCTCCCTGCCCAAAGTCAGCTACCTCTCCCCATATTTCCTGTTCTCTAATTGTGATGTCTTGTATCTACATGTATATTTATTTTTGCCTGGTCTCTATTTTTCCTGAATGCTGCGATTAGACGCTAGCACATTGCTCCTGTATGAAACTCTCTCCAAGAGATGCCCATCTTTTAGCGTCTTGGAGGCAGGGATATTTTTTGTTGCATGGCAGAGGGGCTTCGCATATGACTCCGCTTTCAAATCACTCCATACCATACTTACACCTATCCAACAAATAACATCATGCAAGTGAATAGATCTGTTTTTTTCCTTCTCTCCATGACTGTTTATAATCATTCATAATACTGCCCTGGATGGACGTTGCTAGGTACCTAAAAGCTCAGGGCCCAAAGGTGTTTTGGCTCCTCCCACATGTCCATACCTCCTCCTAAAACATGCCCTATACCAGGCACAGGCAACCTTCAACACTCCAGATGTTTTGGACTACACCTCCCATGATGCTTTGCCGGCACTATGGGTGTAAGAGCATTATGGGGGATGTAGTCCACAAGACCTGGAGTGCCGAAGGTTGCCTAACCCTGCCCTATACCAAGATCTTAGTCCAATTGTAAGCCGCAACGCTGGCTATGAATTAATTCAAGGTTTTGGTGTCACAATGTGCATTAAATAAATCTATATTAATAAACTCCACATGGGTAACAGGAGGAGAAAAGAAATTGCATTAGAATCCGGGAGGATTACAAGAGAAATGGATGACAAAGAAAAGGTAAAAAAGAAAAGAATATTGAGACTAAATAAGAATAGGGGTGTTTGAAACAATACAGAGAGGGTTAGGGGACATGAGGGGAAAAAAGTTAATCTTTTCCTATTTAGAATGTTAAAGGGACACTGTAGGCATCCACACGATGTCATTTAATTGAAGAGCGGTGTCTGGGTGAGGTATCCCTGCCCTTTAACCCTGCAGCTGAAAACATTGCAGTTTTAAAGAAAAAAAATTCATTACAGTATTTTGACTGCCTCTAGTAGCAGTCCAAGCTTTCTGCTGTTTCAGTGTCCAGCATCTTGCATTGATTCAATGCTCTCCTGTATGGAAGGCCTAATGTGCATGCCGCTCACCACACATGTACATTAGGTCCCTGCCCCTCGCAATAACGTCAGAGGAGACGGATCCAGCACAGAGGGACCTCAGCGCTGAAATAAGGTATTTAAATAAGTTTGGTGGTGCTGAAGTGGGCAGAGGGACACTGTTAGGAACACAGATCTGTATTCCTAACGCTGTAGTGTTCCTTTGAGGAATTTAGTTATATTATACTATGTGTGTTTAGTGTTTCTTAAAGGGACCACCTAGGCCCTATAACCACCTAATTGTATTGAAGTGGTTATAGTGCCTGGCATGCCCTGATGCTACCCTTTCATTCAGTGTTAAACCATTTTTCCAGGCCAGCTCCCAATGCCAATGTGGCAGAGGTGGAGATTACACATTACACAATAGATGTTTTATTATTATTTTTTTAAAGTAAGGAATTGAAAATAAAGCCACCAAGAAGACAGAGATATAACTTTAAATGCAGCCATCTAACATGTTTTTTGTAATGCATTATTTAGAGAATGTTATAGAAATGAGGGTAATCTCTAGTGTGTATTTTTCCTTTATTTAAAATTAAACTTACTGGAGCGCCATCCATGAAGGCATGGATTTTGTTCTGAGTGATTGAGATACATTGTTTTGCTCATGTGCCTTTATTACCACAAACTATACCAATTTATCAATATCACATATTAGGACTTTATAAGCATTGTTTCTTTTGATACCCAGGTACAGACTGTCTCTGCATTTATATTTTATATGTTTCACCATCTCACAAGCATTGCTGCCCCTTGATCACCAACAGCAATTATTTACTCCTCCAAATCCCTACAAGTAACTGCAAGATGATGTTCTCCCACCTTCCACTGCTTGGTGTACATACAATTAATTTACTATTACTATAGTCTGAGAACAGTGGGGTCATGGATCCCATTCTGGAGTTGTACATGGTGATGTCTTCTCTGATGGTTGTGAGGTTAGGTATTTTTTTTCTGCCCATACCTAAAATGGTTTCCTTGTTTCCTGGACTTTTTTCAACCTATCTTTTTCTACCCTTCAATTTTCTTAATACTTGCATTAGTCTCTTATATCTATATCTAGGATAGCCTTATGCCTATCCCACGCATGCTTAAACTCCCTCACTGTGTTACTATCTACCACTTCAACTGGAAGCCTATTCCATGCATCCACTACCCTCTCTGTAAAGTAATACTTCCTGATATTATTTTTAAATATTTGCCCCTCTAATTTAACATGTTGTAACCCATATTGCATCTGTATAACAATTGCACTTAATGGACCCCGTCTACTAAAAAAACAAAGTTTGAGGTAACCCTACTAGGCAAAACAAACATAAATAAATACACATTTTGCTAGAAACACTTATACTGTAACACATTTTTAATAATTTCCCGTTAAAATTGAATTGAGCCAGTATGAATATAGTTTATAATAATCCAACACCACAGGTTTTATCTTCAAATCTCTCAATTTATATAAAGTGACATAAAGAAAAAGTGAGATTTTTCCTATTATGTAAATTACCTTCATAAATATTAGACGTCAACAGCATTAATGTAAAAATGCCACTCTTTTGTTTTTAAACTTTTCAGTGTAAATTAGGGATTTCAAGGAGAGCAGCTGTTGTTCTCTGTCTATTCCAGTCTGATATTAGAATTTTACAAAACATTACATGATGTTTAAGGCTCTGCTGTTTATAACTCTATGTTGCAATCCGTGTTGCCAATTACTATTCGTCCACATGGTCAATCACGAATACCAGGAAGTGTAATGTCTGCAAAAGCAATCACAGCTCTGTACTAGACAGCCAATGAAACTGCAGGGTTCCTTAAATAATGCAGGTCCGAGGGGGAATAACATGCAAGGAGATGAGTGAACAATGAATTAGGAGAGTTTTTTATATATATATATATATAGATATATATATAAAAGCAACTATCAAATATACTTGTGCATTAGTTTTCAGACAAATTGCAAAAGTTTAAACATTAGATCTCTCTTTACAGGAAGTGTTTAGGAGAACTGTGTGAGTCACATGCAGGAAGGTAGCGATGCGTAAACAAAGTGATTTTTTTTTCTCACCTCAATATCTGCATGACTTTTCACCCATAATGGTTGTTTTATCTAACCGCAGACTCTCTTACAACCCATGCCCCAAACAGCATTCATAAATTTGCATTCAGGACTCAGAGCTAGCAGCCAAACCTTTATACAGAGGTAACCTTTATCTCCTGTCGCTTCTCTGTCAATTCTTACATTGGCTTCGTATACCCTACAGGAGTAAATTAAAAATACTAACTCATGCCTATATAGCTCTAAACAACTCTATCCCCGTTACATTTCATCACTAATTTGTAGATGTGCCTCTCCGCTTTGTCGGTGACCTTCTCCTGTCCACTGCTCACACACTTACTGCTAACTCACGCTTGCAGGACTTCTCGTGGGCAGCTGCAACAACTTGCCTAGTCCCAGCAGACTCTCACTTCTTCAATAATTTAAGTACTCCCTCAAAACCCATCTCTTTAGAAAAGCTTATGGCCTCCCAGAGTAACTTCTATTTAATAATTTAACTCCTAAATGGCAGAGAATTGAGCAGTTAGACTCGAGGGGCATGATCTATACACTAAAACTGTTTCATTAAGCTAAAGCTGTTTTGGTGCCTATAGTATCCCTGTAAGGAAACCAAATTAAGGAGCTTTTGTGTTTAGTAGATAGCTCCTTTTATTTAGTATCTTTAATTACTGCAATCTAATTTGAGGGTACAGAATTAGCGCGCTATTGACTAACGAGCTTCTTAATTTGGTATCCTTAATTACTGCCAAGCTGACATAAGGGTACAATATTAGGGAGCTATAAACTAAATTGCGGAAAAACCAACATTAAGAAAAGGCCTTTTCTTCATTTTAATCTATTAGATGTTTAGTAGATATCTTTCTAATTAGGTATCCTTACATGGGATTGCCATATTTAAAGGGTTACTCCAAGCATCAGGATGGTAGGGGTACACTGGACCCCATTTCCCAAGAATGGGTCAAAATATTTTGCAACTTTTTGCCCTGTTACCTAGTCCTGCCAGGTGTCCTGTATAGTTGGCTGTTGACATGCATATAGCTTCTGCAGATCCAGATTCCAATACTGCTGGCTATTCATTGCTTGAGAGTGTCAGCTGACCACTCTCAGCCAATGATTACAATGCTGTGCAATTCTATGCACAGAATTGACATTAGTCAGTCTAGTCACTATTTTCAGGCTGGCTGATGATGCCGCAATGATGTTGACGGAGGTGGAGTTACACCTCCAGTAGCAGACGGGTCATTCTCTACATGCGCAGTGTTTTATAATGAAAAACTGCACATACAGACTCCAGGCACCATGACTACTTTAAATCACTGTAATATTCATCGTTCTCAGAGTAACCCTTTAAGGATACCAAAATAGGGTACCCTGAAATATGGCAATCGTCCAAATTAATTCGGACAAACTGAAAATTTCCACTGTTCACAAGTCTACTTTGAAATTTGAGTTATCTGTAAGGTTTATCTAGTATATCCCTGGTTTATATCCATGATTTAAACAAATATACTTTCTATCCCTCTATTTAATTTTAATTTCTAACGCATATTAAATAAACTTGAAAAAAATGTAACTGAAGATTGTGGCGTTTACTGTAGACCTAAATGCTCACTACAGAAGGAGCATTTAGGTCTACTGAATTTTATTCAGTAGGTCTATTTAGGTCTATTGAATTTTATTCAGTAGGTCTATTTAGGTCTATTGAATTTTAGACGTTTTTGATTCCTCATAAAAAGGACCTATAACATATATTTAGTTGATTATTTTTCTGATAAGTCCAGTTTCATAATAATGATTAAGTGCTGCTCTGAACTGTAGCGTACTCAAGACTTCTCTTTTAATATTCAAATGATGAAAGTGAACTTCTACTGAAAGCCCTCAATGAAGGATTCATATTTGGATTGGTTCCCTTAGAAGAAGCCTCAGAATGCCTATCTGCTTCTAGAGATGTGTCTGGTTTATTGTATGCTTGTGATAAGAATGATTCTTGTGATGAATTAACCAGGTTATTAGTCCCTTCAGATGAAGGAAGTATACCCCCCACTCCACCTTTTAATGACATTTCCAAGGTATTTTTATCCTCTGGTGACAAAATGTTTGATCTAGTTGCTCTCTTATATGCATTCTGACTCGATCTGGACATTGATTCTGAGAATCTAGGAGATTCTGTAGGGGAAACAAAGCTTCCTTGGGAATCTGTAGACTCTTTAAGAGAAAGAGCATTCCCTTCGGAATCTCCAGATTCATTTGGAAGGAGGATATGTCCCTGGGGATGTTGAGATTCTTTAAGAGAAAGAGAACTTCCTTCAGAATCTTTAGATTCTTTTGGAGAAAGCAAACTTTCCTGGGAAGTTTGAAGTGAATGAGAGGTCTCATCTGACTCCACAAGTGAGAAATGAGAATCCTGATCTGATGCCTCATCTAAAAAAGGGAAATTGCTGCTTTGGTCTGAGAGACTTGTTGCTCTCTTTGTGTTTTTCCATGATAAAGCTGTTTCTTGTTTATGTTGTCCTTCAGACATAATTGCTCCCTCTGTAGACTCGTCATACAGATCTGTTCTTCTACTACTTTCCTGAGACAGTATTAAACGTCTGTCAGTTACAAATGTTACATGATTATCCTCTGAACTATAGTTATCACCTGTATTCTTAAAATTATTGGGACTTCTTAAAGTTCTTTTTTGTCCTTCTAATTGGATTCCTCTCTCAGCCTTGTTCATCTTTATGGTTTTGTTCAAATAGTAAGTTGACTCTCGGTCTGTGTCATATTCAGATGAGCTCAATATGGATGACTTTCTTGATTTTTCAGCGTTTGCTGATGCCAACACTCTTCTTTTCTTATCTGATACAAAAGAGGACACTTTGGTTGATCCAAGACTAGTTCTTTCTGAGATGTTCGTTAGTGTTGACCCTGTAATAATTAAAAGAGATTACAACCTTAAAATAATTTTCAATTGATCATTAAAATGCCCCATAAAGCTAAACCATTTTAATGTTCTGAATGCTTTCCTTCAAGGGATACTCAAAGCACCAAAACAACTGTATCTTAATGAAGCAATTTTGGTGTATAGATGTCCCTGCAGTTTCACTGCTCAATTCTCTGCCATTTAGGAGTTAAATTTGTTTCTGTTTGTGCAGTCTTAGACACACCTTCCCTGACTGTGACTCACACAGCCAACATAAAAAAAAAAGTTTTAGTTTTATATCAGATGTGAAGGCACATTGTGTTTACTTTAGACGTTTGTAACAAAATGGGATGAAGCTCCTGAACTCTGACTGAGTACCTCTGACAAAATTCCCCTAGTACTATGAAAGACTCACCGAAGTGACTATGGCCCTGTCAGGATTACTAGTTGATACAGCACGTAGAATTGTGTCACACTGATGATTAATAGGTAACGTATTACCGGGCCTTAGGATGGCCGGACTTAACGTACCAAAGAGTAGTCAGGATACTTGCCGAGGTCAGGAGATACAGAAAGAGACACAACGATAAGGGAAAGAAAGAAGTCAGGGATACCAGAATACAGGGAAGTCAAAACAAAGCCAAAGTAAAAAAACAGAAAATACTTGAATCAGGAATGCACTCTCGGACAACCACTAGGGAAACCATGACAGGGCAATGAGGAAAGGCAACTCTGAGTTTAAATACATGCTTTACCTTTCTGATTGGCCGAGATCGATCTTTGACCCCAAAACATGTGCGTGCGGCGTGTGCATGTCACGTGCACGCTGACGTCGTCAATCAAGTGAGTGGACGTGGGGGTATAATTTGCTGTGGATCCGCAGACGCACGGTGAGGAAGAATATGTTACAGGCCCTTCCCCAAACACCCGTCGGTACTTAGTGACGGGGTAAAACAACAACTCTGTACTGGGACAAGAGGGTGCCGTACAATACAAACCCCAAAACACAATGTTCCCCACAAGTACTGGTGTTAATTCATATATCCCCGGACAGGGCTTTCTCCCAATAGTAACTGTCCAAAAAGTGCTCTGATTGGAGTTATGTAGCCTGAAGTTCTAGTGGGACGTGGCTAACCTCCGATCCATCGCATAGTTCCAGGCTGTCAGGGAGTAGGTACAGGTCATAAACAAGAGGTTGCTCCGGCTCTGTGAAAGGAGGCTTCCCCTAACTGTTAGTAGTTTTTGTTAACCCTCCTGCTCTGTTAATTGAACTTTAATCACACACTACAGACTCTTGAAGACTCTAGCAGGCTAGTATCAAAGCAGTAGATAAAAAGCATATTCTAAATTAAACAGACTGTGCAGTAAGGCAAATTTAAACATTAGATCTCTCTTCACAGGAAATGTGTAGGGAGACTGTTAGGTCACATGCAGGGGAGATGTTACTAGGGCTGCATAACATTGAATTGAAGAATGTAGGGAAATAATCTATACACCAAAACTGCTTCATTAAGATAATGTTGTTTTAGTGCTTTTAGTGTCTGTTTAAAAACAGTTTGGGTAATGTGAGAAACAAGATTTTAGAGGTTTTAGATACATTTCTCATGAAAACAACCCTGCCCGACACAATATATTTTTTTATTTATCTCTGATCAAAAGTTATGGCTCTCTAACTTAGTCAGTTGTTTTCTGTATTATTAATAACGGTAAAATTTATGAAGTGCCAAATTATTCTGGTATAACTAATATTACTACATTCCCTGCAGATTAATTCTTTCATTGATGGTGTTGGGTGTCCATCAACAATATTTTTATAATACTCACTGCTTTGGTTACTCTTTGCCTGACTTGTCTCTGTCACATCTTGGATGCTTGAATTTCTTCTGAAGTTCAAAAAGGTCTGTCTTTGATATCCTCCCTGTAACACAGTAATACAAACTGCAGCATCACTAGTAGGTGAAGATTAGATCATGCATTTATATGTCTCAACAGTCTTGACTTCTTCAGGACAACGCATTTTGTGGTCTCTGCCCTATTGTCACAGATTTTTGTTTGGTGTTTAACAAAAAAAAGTTCTCCTAAGGTGCAGTGAAAATATGCTCATTAAATGCTCTCTTGGTATTAAAGGGAATCAGTAGTCCTGAAAATAACAATCGCTATACTTTCTGTCCATCCCCCTTTGCTATTAAAAAAAAAATTACTTACCTTGTTTTCAGCACCAGGATTACTCCACTGCAGCCACCAGCTCTGCTTTTGAAGTCATCAGCATGCTCTTCTGTGACCTCCTCCAATGCAATGCTTCTCACAAAGAAGCAATGGATTGGAGATACGAATACGAGGCCAAAAAACACCACGTTCCATCAATCAAATGTTGGTATCAGCACCATTTGATTTTTACTTGGTTCTGGAGGAGGAAGTTACTTAAGTGGCTGTCAGAAGGGCAACCATTAGAGGTGTATTTAACTTTTTAATGTAAACATTGCAGTTTTGTAGACTGACAAGACCACTGCACCCAGACCACTTTATAGAACTGAAGAGATCTGGGGGACTTTAATAGAATTGAACTACAAATGGTTTGTCATTTTGAATACCTCACGGAATGCCCAATCACTGTCTCTTACCCATGAAGGCCCAGAAATTCGTGGGTACCGGGAGATTCTTGCCCGAAGCTGTTCAACTTTCTCCCACTCAGATTCCCATTTGCGATATTCAGACTCCCTACTTAGGATCCTAGCTAACATTTTGTCATTTTCAAGCGTGACCTGCTCCAGACTTTGCAGACGGCTTCCTAAATTCAAGCTTTTCAGAGAAAAACCAAAACAAAACATGAAAAGACATGAAAACCTGATGAAGGAATGATCAGCCATCATTTTGGCATTATGAATAAATAATATATATTGTGTTTATCTCCCCTTGTACTCTCATGTGTCTACATTTATTTAAACCCCTTGTGTTTTGTAGATGGGCGGAGCAGTTTTGGATTGAGATTCACTCTCTATCAGGACTCTTGATTTTAAGTGTGTGAGAAGTGGGCAAGGTTAGAACATATTATATCCCTTGATCTTCTATTGACGCACACAGCTCTGAAATGAAGAGTCTTGAAATTTGCTCTCAAGATTTCACTTCCATGCCTCTCAGCGGTGCTATATAGTGGATAGTTAAGCCATGGTGCAGTAATTAATTTTGAGTAGAGTGGCATAATCCTGCCCTCCTCCAGGTGCCCCAGGAGGCTGCCGTGACCCCTTATGGGCCAGCTCTGCAATAAAGAAATTATAGCAGACTTTGGGCATGGTAGGCTCAGAGCATCATCAGGGATTAAAAATAAGCATTTCCTGTTTACTGCACAATGGAATGCTGGGAGCTACTGTGCAAGTTACAGATTCCGAACGGTTACGGACATTACGTGTTTAGCACCCTTGTTTTTTTTTTTTTTGGCTTTTTAAAAAAATATTTTTGACGTGCTTAAAGGTTAAAGGCATTCTCACTTTGCCACAACAGCGACAGTGAGTGAAGTATGAACATTAAACTGTACAATGGTGGCATCTATGCAAAACTGCGCACATTGTTTTTGTAGGAGTCATGAATGATATACGAGTAAAACTTAGATGCATTATAAATAAAGAACACAACAAATTAATTAGAGAACTGCAAGCTTGAGCATGTGTGTGATTAGCTTGTTTGGCTTGGCTGGGTCAAGCAGTACATGTACCCTAAGTATACAGAATGATGACTTAAGACACGATTAACCAAACAAGATAAAGATCATGAACTATGCTTGTATGTCCTGGGTGCTGCTCTCATGAACGTTAAATGCTGATGAGCAGTGTAACATATATCTTATTGCGCCGGGTACTGTACGCTACATTTACGGTGACATTTTCGGTATTGAGAGCATCTAGGTACTCGCTAACATAGCAGAGACCTGCAGGCAAATGCACAGGTATGAAATTACTCAAGGTGTTGCAACCTAAAACGAGGGAGCAGATCGAGTTTATTATTGAGCGTTAGGTTACATGCTAGGCAGACAGATTTTATAATAATGACCATAGAAACATAGAATGTGACGGCAGATAAGAATCATTCGTCCCATCTAGTCTGCCCAATTTTCTAAATACTTTCATTAGTCCCTGGCCTTATCTTATAGCTAGGATAGCCTTATGCCTATCCCACACATGCTTAAACTCCTTTACTGTGTTAACCTCTACCACTTCAGCTGGAAGGCTATTCCATGCATTCACTACTCTCTCAGTAAAGTAATACTTCCTGATATTTTTAAACCTTTGTCCCTCTAATTTAAGACTATGTCCTCTTGTTGTGGTAGTTTTCCTTCTTTTAAATATAGTCTCCTCCTTTACTGTGTTGATTCCCTTTATATATTTAAATGTTTCTATCATATCCCCCCTGTCTCGTCTTTCCTCCAAGCTATACATGTTAAGATCCTTTAACCTTTCCTGGTAAGTTTTATCCCGCAATACATGAACCAGTTTAGTAGCCCTTCTCTGAACCCTCTCTACCGCTGGTACATATGTCAATGTAAGACTCTGTTGGAGAGGTGGTTAGGTGAGAGCAGTAACGAAAACCAGAGATGGCTACCGGGGATGTTAGAGATGTCTGGATCAGGGGCTATGAGTGGTATCCCAAGCGCTGCATGACTCTTGTTGTGTGTGCCTCTGTGGTGACACAGGGTGCCTTAAGGTCGTCGCTGGAGACTGAAAGTCCGATTAAAGTTTACAAAGCAGGTCTGAGTTGATGAAGTAGTGTAGTCCAACAGTTCTTGGCAGGTCTTACTGGGTTCCCTTTGCTTGATATGAGAGCGTCCCCTTCACGGTTGTGAGGCATTTTAGGAAGCTTAGTGGCTGTCTGTGCTGTTTAAGCCTGTGGCTTTTACCTTGCTGAGCTCTCCCCATCAGGGGTTAACTGTAGGCTTTGCGGTCATGCGGGTTGGTGAGCAGTGCGACTTCTCTGCATGAGGCAGGGGATGTGGGTGTCGGGCTCCACGCTGCTGCCATCTTGGAAGGTAGGTAGAGGGACTCTCAGTCTCCACTCCTCCCTAGCTCTCCACAGTGGGGACCGGGATAACCCCCCCGGCCCACGGGGGGGGGGGGGGAACGGGAACGGCAGGCATCTCAGATAGTCGTGTGTGGTTGCCGCGAGGCGGGCAGGGCAGCGGCCGTCTACCCCGCTCCCCTCTCGAATAGGCCGCAGTCCCCGAAGCTTTATTCAACCCTTCAGGGTCCCAAAACTCCTGATCTCGGGATCTGCCACCTTGTCCACCACCGTGTGCGTGGCTGTTGGGCTCTTTGCGGGCTTCAGAGCTGCAGGATTTGCCTAAGAGGCCAGATTTCTCTTGAGCCTCTCCTGCATGCGACTGGTCAGCATGGCGGTCCGGCCCCGCCCCCAGCACCCTTGTTTTTTAATCCATTACTAAGAGTTTGAAACTTGTGATGGAATTCAAAGGTGGAAGTCTCCATGGTGAATGTACTATAGCTTTGTTAGAAACAAAGTAATAGTAATCTATTTGCAGTATTATTTTAAACTAATTAATGGAAATATATTTTCAAGTGATAGTGACAATCTAAAATGGTGATATCCCAGTGGCTTGCTCCTGTTTGAATAGGATTTGAAGTGATAAGGTTTTATATTGTATTATATTTCATTTAGCTGTGAACAGAAAACTACATGTACCTGTAAGATTGTTGTTATAACTTGTTATATGGACAGATTTTACACCTTAAAATAATATTATGTCTATTACAAAAAAGGAGTATCTTGTGAATTATTATGGTGAAAATATAATGGCAAGAGAAAAACTGTTATGTCCCTCTCTTTTGTAAAAGGATTAAAATGATAAAACATTACGCTGCGCCAATCAGCATCTCCTCATAGATGAATCAATGCATCTCTATGGAGACTTTTCAGCATCTCCATGCAGAGCCTGGAGACCCTGAACATAGGTGTTGCATACAATGCAGCACTGAAATAGGAAACACTTCTAGTGGCCATCTGAGTAACCACACCTAGAGGTGTTGCTAGGCAGCAATGTAAACACTACCTTTTTTCTCAAAAGGCAGCATTTACATTGCTGAGCCTGCAGGGACATGCCATAGAGACCAAAACCACTAAATTTAGCTGCAGTGGTTCTGGTGACTATAATGTCCCTTTAATGTATGTATATACTGATCAGTCACAACATTAAAACCAGCTGCCTAATATCATGTAGATCCACCTTGTGCTGACAAAACCACTCTGATGTGTTGAGGCATGGAATCCACAAGACATGTGAACGTGTCCTGTGCTACCTGGCACCAAGACATTAGCAGCAGATACTTTAAGTCCTGCAAGATGTGAGGTGGAGCCTCCATGGATCAGATTTGTAGGTTCCAGCACATCCCATATATGCTTAATCGGATTGAGATCTGGGGAATTTGGAGACCAAGGTAACACCTTGAACTCTTTGTCATGTTCCTCAAACCATTCCTGAACATTTTTTGCAGTGTGGCAGGGTGCATTATCCTGCTGAAAGAGGCCACCGCCATTAGGGAACATCATGGCCATTTATCGATGTATGTAGCTTGCAACAATCTCTAAGTAGGTGGTAAGTGTCAAAGTAACATCCACATGAATAGCAGGACTCAAGCCTCCACTGGCCTGCATTCTTCCCACAGTGCATCCTTCTGCCATCTCTTCCAGAGGTAAATGATGCACATGCACCCAGCCATCCACCTGATCTAAAAGAAAACATGATTCCTCAGACCAGGCAACCTTCTTACATTGCTGCATGGTCCAGTTCTGAGGCTCACGTCCCCATTCAAGGTGCTTTCAGCTGTGGACAGGGGTCAATATGGTCACTCTGACTTGTATGTGGCTATGCAGCCCCGTACGCAGCAAATTGTGATTCACTTTGACACCTTTCTATCATGGGCAGCATTAAGGTTTTCAGCAAATTTTGCTACAGTAGCTCTTCTGTGTGATTGGACCTGACGGGCTAGCCTTTGCTCCACATGTGAATGAATGAGCCTTGGGCTCCCTCCGGTTCACCGGTTGTCCTTCCTTGCACAGCTATTGATAGGTACTAACCACTGCATTCTGGAAACACCCCACAAGATTTGCAAATTTGGAGATGATCTTACCCTGTCGTGTAGCTATCACTATTTGGCCATTGTCAAGGTCACTCAGATCTTTTCGCTTGCACATTTTTCCTGCTTCCATCACATGAAATTCAAGAACTGACTGTTCTCTTGCTGCCTAACATATCCCACCCCTTGACAGGTGTCATTGTAATGACATAATCAAGGTTATTCACTTCACCTATACATGGTTTTAAAGTTGCGGCTGATCAGTGTATATGCCATCTAATACACCTGGCAGCTGGGGTTTTGCATTATTACTCTTAAAAGGATTTCCATGTAGCTACCATGTCAATTTATTCACATTGTACCATTTGAAAATGATAGGCTACATTGTCAGATAAACATATTTAGACTGGTGTTGGTCTGTAAGAGCATGTTTATGCACCGTCCTGTTGAAAAGTCCAAATGTAGGCCTTTATTGAACATAGTCAATAGAACACTCCCTCTAGTGGCCAAAATATAATACAACATTAAAGACACCTTAATATAGATTATTTCAGACAGCTGAACCTCATACCTCCCTACCTTTCCTATGGACAAAGAAGGAATTCTCTAATTTTAGGGGTGTGAGTGGGGTTGTAGCCAGTGGTGTGGTTATTCTAAGACATTTTAAGTGACTTATTGATAATAATAGAACCAATATGTAATTTAGAAAAGGGACAATGTATCTTATCTACACGGACTGATTTCTAAACACAGTCGTAGTTTAAAAAACACATTAACACATTACTTTGAGTATTATTGCTGTGGAGCTCTGTTAAACACTCAGACAAACCAACAACATGAAGCTCCTAGAAAAAAGGGACATTAGGATAGAAAAGAGGGAAGGAGTTATCTAGGCCAAAATAGGGACTGACATCCTAAATAGGGAGACTTGGGTGGTATGGAATCTACTCAGCAAAAAGTATATACAAAGTATCCATATGAACATCCTGAGGTTTACACTACTCATATGCATCTGTTAGTATCAGGGTATTATATTGAGTGTAAATGGTGTTGGGTATTTGTAAATGGTTTCTTTTGTGCTTTGGTTTCCTGTTACAATAAATATATCGGCTGGTGTAATTGAATTTCTATCTTGGTCATATTTTTCTTGAGAACAAATCCTTGTTAAGCGAAATTCAAACACTTTGTGGAAAAACTGGCTCTGTGAATAACTAATATTTTAATCTGAGTTATTTTTTAAATGAACCCCCCCGAACACCATAACCTTTCAGCCAAGGAATTAAGACCTGCACTAATGCTCTGATGTCCAGCATCATGTCTTATTGGCAGTGACCCCTGATTTGTCAATCTGTATGCTCCTTACAGACCTGCGATGAGGATAATTGTTCCAGTTGTCTAGTCGTCCGTGAGATTCTCGGATGGCGTGTAGTTTAGCATAGTGATTTTTGTTTTGTTTTTCAATTATATCTTGACGTTCTTTTTCCATCTGTTTCATAATTAGAGAATGAAAACACATTAAAATTTGAATTTAATCTCTTCAATCATCATTCTCACGGATTCATGGACACATCACCCAGACATAACTTAATGAGACAATATAGGCACCAACACAACTTTAGCTTAGCAAAGCAGCTTTGTGTGTGTAGATTATGCCCCTGCAGTCTCACTGCTAAATTCTCTAACATTTAGAATGCCCCTTTAATGTCACTCATCAAAGTATCTTACTTTTAGAGGAAATAATCAGTTGAGCTATGTATGTGTTCTGATTAAACCAGATAAAAAAAAGACATGGTGTATAGTAATTAAATGACAATTTAACCATAAACCCATTATTTGGGGAGAGGCAGATGTGTATTTTATTAGTGTGCTAGGCATGACTAAATTTAAAAGCCCCTCTAATTTAAATTTTCCCCACCCCTTCCTACCAAGGAGAGATAGAGAGAGAGAGACACACACACACACTCTCTCTCTCTCTGACTGACAGATACTCACTGACAGACACAAAGTCATTGGCAAACACACTGTTTAGCCAACATACACTTTCACTGACAGACACACTGACAGACACCCACTCTCAGATACAAACAGACTGACATACACACACACCACTGATTTGACACACTCTTGACAGACACACATACTGTACACTTCTTTGAAACACACTGACACACATATTCTCACTGATTTGACACATCCACATTCAGTGACGCACACATTTAGTGACAGACACACATTCACTGACAGACATACACACACTGATACTGGCAAACACACATTTGCTCTAAAATAACACACAATTGATATTTTTTTATTTTAAGTCCACCCAGCCTCCCTACCTTTGGCAGAGCTGAAGTGGATTCTTTCCCTGGGGTTCATTGTGAATCCTGTCCCTGGGGTCCAGTGTGGGGTTGCTCTGATCTTCCCTGCTGCCTCGCGTGCTGTTTCATTATACCGGGGGTGGAGTGACATCATATTCCTGCTCCGGTATCACCTCTGGGCACCCGCCTACAATACTCACCGCCGCACACCTGGTGGGGGGGCCCTTAGGTGGCCAGACGGCCAGCTGTTGAGCCCCCAATCACATGAGGCTAACAAGGCATCTGCTAAAGTTGCTGAGGCGTTTGGGGGAGGTATTTTTTGCAAACCCCACTAGAAAGTGCTGCCCATGCAAATGCATTGCGGTAAATACAGCAGTGGGAAGAGGCTATTCGAACAGTGTACAGAAGACAATTATGCACAACTGACCCAGTGATAATGTAACACGTGTTTATTCCAAAACCTGTTTGCATTAGAATTGTGCCCAATGACCCACAACTGTTAAAGCATGAGACATGATGGGTAGCTGCCAGTGTTCACCAGTTCCTCAAGCTATATTTTTGTGGTTGTAGTGATATCACCAACAAGTGGCATAATTTTCACTCAACTTCCCTCTCACCTTCTTATCCTATTGTCTCCAGAAGTAGTCAAGATGTTTACTAATGGATTAAATCTCATGGAAACACAGAAATTGATGGCAGATACAAAAGCCAACTGGCTCGTGCTGACAAATTACTTTTTGTATATTTACCAAGTATATAATGTCAGCAGCAGTGGAATTTCACGCATTAATGTGATTGACTTCAGAAGCATTTTCTATTATTTACTAAGCATAAACTTTGGTAAACTAAATATGATCTTCATATTTAGTAAAGTAAATATAAGATGAAGCCTGCTTCAGCTAAGTATGGGTGTGGTGAAACTCCAATACTCAACCAGAGTATCTCCGCCAAAGTCTCTCTAATTTACCCGCAGAGTGTTCAGGGACATAGCTAACCCACCCAAACATTGGTGCATGGTCTGGTAGTGTCTGCTAGGAGAAGGCAAGAGGCACAGCAGGGTGGTTATCAGTCCCTTCTGCTTAGTATTGTCTCGTAATATGGCTCCCCTTTTGATTCATAGTCTGGCAGATACAACCAGATCCAGAAGGGTTGACTTGGGAATGTCCAGATATGGATTACTTTAGGCTTCGAGTTCGGTTTGCCAGAACAATCTGTTAGCACTAGTGTTCTGTTTGCTTGGCTGGTATTGTATTGTGATATTATATGGTTGAAGGGCCAGGCTCCATCTCAGCAACTGGTGATTATCTCCAGATACTTTGTTTAGCCAGATGAGGTGATTATGGTCATACTCTTTTAAAGCCCACACCAGGGCCAGCACCACTGAGTAACTCCTAGTCCAAACATGGAGGCATGGGTATGGACGATAAAGTGTTTGGTAGGGTCAGGTGCAGCCAAAACTGGGGCATGAGTTAGGGCCGTCTAACTGTTGGAAGGCCCCCTCACAGTTTGGAGATTTAAACATTTTGCCATGAAAGGTCCTCAGGACACGCACATCGGTACACCGGGTGACTACATAGATCTTCTCCACCACCTGGTAGGATCCTTGCCAGGGTGCTTGGGGTTTGTCCTAGTAGGTTGGCATAAATACCAGGACTGTTTGACCCACCTGAAAGGCGTGGTCTCTGGCACCTGGACATACCGTCTTCTCTGGCGTCTCTGAGTCGTCTGCAAGTTCAAACTAGTATCAGTTTTGTCTTTGACAGAATGTTTAAAATTAAGCATCAAAGTTGATGCTAACACATATGTGCAATTGACGCAGAGTGAAGATGTAAGAGCCTTCTTCAACCTGGGATTCGTGCCCTTTCGTGGTTCTTTACTAGACATGTGCAATTCGTTTCGGTCCGAATGTGAATTCGGATGAATTTCAGGCAATTCGGACAGTCGGGTACTTCCGAATGTCCGAACAGGTGAATTGCCGAATGGTCGAAGTCCCGAAATTACAGAATTTCCAAAGTGTCGAAGTGCCGAAGTTCCGAAGCACAGTATTGCCTAAGAACTGATATAGTTACGCAGTGGAAGAATAAAGTATGTTACACTGTATACAATTTTAAATAAAAAGTATACAAACATAGCCAGGATTCAGCTGTAAGCATTTGCAACACTTACAACAATCAAGTAACATACATTCATATAAAATGTAAGTTACTTAGCCAGTCAATGTAATGACAGGAATGAATAAGCAGATAACTCCCTAATTCCCACGGTATTAGTGAGCTATCTACTAAAAGGCTGAAAGACCTAAACTGGTCTTTCAGACAAATTTACTAATACTAAGTAAAGATTTCTTAGTATTAGTAAATTATGCCCCTATTCGCTATACCGCGAGTAGGGGCATGTCTATTAAACAGTGAGCAGCCTATGGCGGGTGGGGCCCTACAGTATAATAAGGGGGGGGACCTAATGGCCTCCCCCCTGGCCCCCACCCTGAGCGGTGGGTGGGGGCCCTAAATACTAATAAGGGGGGGGAACCTAATGTCCTCCCCCATGGCCCCCACCCCTGAGCGGTGAGTGGTTACCCTAAATTAGAATAAGGGGGGGACCTAATGTGGAGGACATTAAGGGGACCTGGAGGACATGAGAGGGACCTAATGTCCTCCCCCCGGAGGACCTAATGTCCTCCCCCCTGAGCGGTGGGTGGGGGCCCTAAATTAGAATAAGGGGGGACACCTGGCCCCCATCCCTGAGCTGTGGGTGGGGGCCCTAAATGCTAATAAGGGGTGAGGGACCTAATGTTCTCCCCCATGGCCCCCATCCCTGAGCGGTGGGTGGGGACCCTAAATACTAATAAGGGGGGGGGGACCTAATGTTCTCCCAAACCCCTAGTCACCCCCCTTCCCCCAAAAAATAACTCCAACCTACCCCCCTCACCCTAAAAATAATGAGGGGGGGCCATTAACTAAGTACCTGTAAAAAAAATAAAACTTACCATTTGATGTTTTCTTTCTTCTAAAATCTTCTTTTGTCAGCCCCAAAAAAGGCAAAATAAAAAATCCATAATAACCGACGCACTTAAAAAAATAAAAAAAATGATCTATCTTCACCCATGGAGGGGCCCGCGCAGACTGAGCTCTGCAAGGTGGGGGAAGGCTTATAAAGCCTTGCCCCACCCTGCAATTAGGCTCAGAGCACTCTGGGTTTAAGCCATCCAATCAGAGTGCTCTGACAGGTAAATGAAGAGAATGACAGGTAAGTCTCTACATTTACCAGTCACAGCACTCTGATTGGTTGGCTTGAAATCCACCAATCAGAGTGCTCTGTGTCATTTTACACAGCGTGGGAAAGTTCTTTGGAATTTTCCCACGCTGTGTAATTTGACTCATAACACTCTGATTGGTGGATTAAGTAACCAATCAGAGTTATGAGTCAAATTACACAGCGTGGGAAAATTCCAAAGAACTTTCCCACGCTGTGTAAAATGACACAAAGCACCCCCTTATTAGTATTTAGGGCCCCCCAACCACCACTCAGGGGTGGGGGCCAGGGGTGAGGACATTAGGTCCCCCCCTTATTCTAATTTAGGGCCCCCACCCACCGCTCAGGGGTGGGGGCCAGGGAGGAGGACATTAGGTAGTATTAGTATTTAGGGCCCCCTACCCATCGCTCAGCAGTGGGGTGGGGGCCGGACAATAGGTCCCCGTCATTTTACTTTAGTCCCCCCACCCGCCACTCGGGGGGGGGCAATAGGGGCTCAGAAGGGGGCTGCTCACTGTTTACCCACAGGCTGCTCACTGTTTGATAGACATGCCCCTACTCGCGGTATAGTGAGTAGGGGCAAAATTTACTAATACTAAGTAATTCTTACTTAGTCTTAGTAAATTTGGCTGAAAGACCAATTTAGGTCTTTTAGCCTTTTGGTAGATAACTCCCTAATAATGATGTCTCGAACGGTTCGCCACGGACTCATCATTGAGTAAACTTTGACCCTGTACCTCACAGTCAGCAGACACATTCCAGCCAATCAGCAGCAGACCCTCCCACCTCCTGGACAGCTCACTAAGAATGCAGCTTCACAATGAATGTAAAATGGATGCTGTCCAGGAGGTGGGAGGGTCTGGTAGAGAGAGTCTGCTGCTGATTGGCTGGAATGTATCTGCTGACTGTGAGGTAC